ACTAGTTGAAATGTCTTTAAATCCACATTAACATGAATTCAACACACTGTAGTAAACAGATAAGTGGAAGCAGAAGATGTCTTTCAGTCATCAATGCACACATTCAGTGACACACAGAAGCTCTTTCAACAGGGCACTGTTGGCCTGAAAAACGTTTCTTTAGACCCCTGGTCTAAAGAAATATCGCAATATCTAACAGAAACCAAAATCTGCAATAATCAGAAGGTCCCCCATGTTTATTGCATTAGCACTAGGAAGCATACTGCTTCCTCTAGCTCCAACTATCAGCTCTCTCTGGATTACTGTAGTTATATCGGCAATTGCGGATACAGTTCCGCTTTGGCTTAATTCTGCTGATTGATTTCAGGTATTCAGATAGAGTCAGATCTTCCAGAATCCAGCAAAGGAACTAGGCCAATTATCTGATTCAGGTGTGTTAATGCACATAGTTATCTGAAAGCTTCAGGCCTAGATTCAGACTCCTTGAACAAACCAAAATCTACCACAAATACCTCTCATTTTAGGCATAACAGTAGCAGTCTGGGGTAAAGATTATATAGTTTTTAATTTTAAAAGTCTGTGATGCAGCACATGAATATATAAAAATATCTGTTTTTATTAGTCTTAATTTGTGTCTTTGCAGGTTAGTCATATTATTTTCTTACCTTGCTCACTGGTTACTTTGAATACTTCAGCCAACAAGCATCGAAAGTGGTACACATAGATCGTGGTATTCAGCTCAGTTTGACAGTTTCCTTCCAGATATGTCTGAAAACAAATAAAGGCATCATTATATAACAAACAGTTGAAACACAGGGCAAGACATTAAAAAGCCCTACTGAAAAATCTTAAGTGTAACTTACTTCGTCACATGATGTGCACGCGTCATAGATCCAATGTATTAATTCACTCTCTTTGGCCTCATTCCACAAAGTGCATAATGTGACATTCTGCAGAAAGGAAGATAAATGGAAACATGCATGTTAATATGCAACTCATTCAAATTTTCATATTTTTTTTATATTTCTCTGGTTTATTAAATTAGTGATTTACCTTGTAATCTTTGGTACTTCTTAAGGTCACGTTTGAGGTCATGTTTTCGTATTTCTGCAACTTAAAGAAAAAAAAAAGAAAACATTTTGACATTCAATATTGTCTTACATTTTATAGGTAAATCATAAAAATAAGCATAGGAAAAATAAAAATAAATAACAAGACAAAACTGTGAGCACTACTACGTTAACAAATACATTGACCAAGTTCAATATTTTTTTTCCATAGAATAATAAAGGATTGCTTAAACCAAACATAATTTCCCAAAAAGGTCAAGTCCCTGAAGGCTTCAAATAACATTTTGAAAGATTTGTAGTCAGTCTCTACTGTTTCATTTCTGTAGATCAATAATTTCCAATTGGGGGTACACGTACCATTAGTGGTCTGCAAGTGCATTGCAAATGATACATAAAAATATTTTCTTTCTTACAGTATATAGTAAAATATAATAAAGCTGGGATCTGTTTTGCTTTGTGAGGACCAAATTGGAAATCTAAACAAGTTTTTGTCAACCAAAAAGTAAGTTTTCTTATATATATGAGTTCACATTCAACTTTGACGCACATCAAATCAAAGCAGAGGAACAGACTGGATGTAGAGAACAGCCAGGGATCTGCTGTTTTTCACAATGATCTATGGAGCTCATCAAAGCAGCTCAGGTCTCTTGATGAAAACAAAGTCAAACTAATTATTTTTGTCCTGTATTTTGTTCCCATCAAGTTTAAATGTGATCATGAGGGAGTTACTTAGAGGAGCTCCAGTTTTAGAAATCCAGGTTTATAATATGATTTTATTTGGTATTTCTTTCAGTTCCCCTCTATCTTCCAGACATTTTTTTTTTTGTATTTGAGATGGAAATCATAAAATGCCTAAAAATGAAATGCTCAAATTAAAACATTAAGTGAAATAGTTTTTATTTTATAATCTAGTATCTTCAATACTTTTAAATGAGAGGGTGACTCATGGTTAGACAAAATGCCCAAAGGCGTAAACAAGGCGAAAAAGGGTGGGAAACACTGCTATAGACGATAGAGATTAAGTGGAAAAATTCTATTGGGATGTGCATTTCACGTATAGACTGAAAAATGTTTATCTTTTATACACTGATTGTATCATTGATTTTGTGAATGTTAATTTCCCCTTTCGAATAACAAAAGGAACATATTTTTCCTAATCTATGATCTTTGAAAATAAAGAGTTCAGAGAAAAGGGCAGAGTCCACATTAGAGATTAGGAAAAAAAAAAACTAAGTTCTTCTCTGCTTATAGCAACATCAGTCTGATGAAAAAGAAACATCCTTGCATTGATGGATATTAGAAGAAAATTGTGCCCTTTTTCCAGTTAGGATTTTTAATAACGATGTCAATGCGTCCAATATACATCCAAAGTCTATGGGGGACAGCGTTGAGAGCTCCAGCGGCGCATTTGAGCGAACTGGTGTCGGAGCAGCCGAGCGTTCGATGCTGGAGTTCAGAAAATTTAAGATCAACCAATCAGAAAAGCTGATCAAGGAGGTTTTTTGGGGGGAAAACGCTACATGCAAGCTGTTATCGCATCTGCAGAGCTGTCTGCATATGAAAAAAATGAAATAAAAAAATGTCTAGGGCCTAAACTCGAGCGGTTTAAAAAAATGCACTATCCAACTCCAGCCTCTGCTGCTTGTGAAACGTTTCATGCGCCTAAAATGATTAAATGCTCATAAGGCGCTGCTTCTGCTGCATCAAGATGCGCTGCTGGAGACACGCTGCGGTACCTTTGGATGTGCCTTGATGTTCCTCAACTGTATGTAATCTGGCTGCTTTTGTTCTGCTCAAATTTCATTCGGTGTGAACGTAGCATTAACCACAATGCAGAGTTGGAACGGAGCTGTTTTATTTATGCCCTTTTTTATGTCCTAAACTATAAAGTCAGACATTTTGCTGAACGACACACATGTAAAAATACTAATATGAGCAGTTTAATTTTAAACGTGGGTGTAAACTCCTCTCCATGCGCATCTGTGCTCTAATCCAATAACATGAGGCCTCCAATGTATCACATACCAGTGTATGAATATAAATAGAGCTAAGAACATCTATGGGCCGATTTAGCAGAACCCCATGCACTCCGCAAACAAAGGAGTTGTTCTTCTTCCTCCGGATTGATGAGTCTGACCAGTGCAATCCATCGGAGCTGATTCCAACTTGTGGTTTTTGGCCTTACAGTGTGAGCAGTTAGATTGCATCAGAGCGTCTGGCCGTACAGTGTAAGAACATCATGAGCTATGAAGCTGTAAACCCTGTGGTTTAGTCATGCAGTTTCAGCTCTAGCTGAGTACAATGATATAAAATGTCATTCACTGTATGCCCGCCTTAGGGCTTTGTGTGCACATTTTGGAGAACATTACTAACGGCAAAAGTTTGTTTTAGGCAATTAGTGTATTAACGGGACCGAAACAACAGATCATAGTGCTACCATTGTTCACACGATGTTTGTGACTGAGTAACGCAAGGTTAAAAGTTGAATACGCCGAGGACAGCAGTGATGCTTTACAAGGCTTGTACAAACAAGCATCTACTACAGAAAACTGAAACTGTTAATATTGTGAAATTATAGCTGTGAGTTATATTTTATAAAAGAAATGCTGAGAAGTGTTAGAAACCAAATATTTAATTGTAGAAGATTTATATTTTCAAGATGAACAGATGCTGGCATTTTGTGGACTTTGAGAGGAGGACAAAGAATTTGCCTGACAGGAATTAGATTCAGGAATTTATTAACTTGTAAAGGAAGCTAACTATTAACAGCAGGTTATAGCGGGGAAACCCAACTAAATCAAGTGAAAAGTCAGTAAAAGAAAGCTCTATTATGTGAAAGAATTTTGCAAATAAAAATATTAATGAAAGGAACTTTCAGACCTCCTCCAAACATCCTCTGTTTAAATGCACCAAAACCTAAAGCAAACTAAATGTGGCATAGAACATAAATTACTCACTCACTGAACATGAAACCCCTAAATACATTTTATTTTTGCAAGATCAGGTTGAAAGAACTTTTTTTGTAGAATGCTGAACATTTAGCAATTTGAAAAAATTGAGAGACAGAGCTCAAATTTAGATAAGCAAATGTAATGTGGGTTTTTTATGATACTATGTTGTCTTATGGGAAATATTTCTGATTGGTGGACTGAGCTGCTGCTTTCTACCCGTTTTGGGGCACAGGGGTTCACTGCATGTAGATTTGGCACTCAAACAGAAATTAACTGTAGATGGACGAAACAGGTAAGAGAACTCGGCTGCACGGTCGGTGAGGCAGTGGGTAGAACTCTGTTGCCTTGCAGTAAGAAGGTTCCGGGTTCGATTCCTGGCCTTTGGGTCTTTCTGCATTGAGTTTGCGTGTTGTTCCCTTGCATTCGTGGGTTCTCTCCGGGTACTCTGGCTTCCACCCACAGTCTCTAAGTTGAACTTTAATGTGATTGTGTGTGTGCATGGTTGTGTGTCTCTGTGTTGCCCTGGGACTGACTGCCTCTTGCCCATAGACTGCTGGAGATACAGTAGGCAGTAGCTCCACCTCGACCCTGACTAGGACTAAGCAGGACAAAATGGATGGAAATGGATTGATGGTAAGATAAAAACTCACCCATGTATTATTGACCAGTGGGTTACATTAACTTTAAATAGAAGTGGAGTGTTTCTATCAGAATGCTAATATCAGAGATTTTCAATGCAGTTCGATATATCCGACCGATATCTGATATCAATATGGGATCAGAATGTTGCACAGATAATACTGAGTACAGGGAGGACCAAAAAGCTGCCATGCAATTTCCTTTTTTATCTTTTTCCAATAAAAGAATTTTATCTTTCCTTTATTGGAAAGATAAAATCCTTACACAATATATAACAGAGAGAAGTTTTTTTATATAGATTCCTGGCAAAGAATAGAAAGTGATATTTACATACCCAATACTGAAGGTTGAAGTAGTCAAACAAGCGTTCCTCTGACGGGTTAATGAGGCTCAAAATAATCTAGGAATAATGTAAAAAGGTTGTGTTATTTTCATCATCACTATTTCTTCATAATTGTGTATTTAATTTGACAATAACAGAAAAATGATAAAGAAATAAATGTCAGTGCTACTTTCTGTAGTATGAAAAGGACCTATGGATTAAGGAGGTGTCTTTTCTTTTGTTAAACTCTATATATTCTGTATTTCAATCCAAAAAGAAAACGGAAAGAAAAACAAAATGAAATAAACAAAATGGTTTTGCATTTAGACTGAAACAGGCAAGTACAAAATGGATTGCCCTAAACTTCTTTCTATTGAGTGGGGTGAATAGTCAATTCTTTTATTGTTTTCAATATTGCCCTGTTTTCAGTCTCAAAACATTGTACATAATGTCCGTCAATAAGTTGGTTAGAGTGTCTTTCCTCAGCTAGTTCCCTGTAAAGAATATTTTACAGGTTCCTCAAAAAAAAAAAACAATCATAAACAATCCACTGGACTTTGTTTCCAAGTTTTAAGACGTTTCGCTCCCCATCCAGTAAGCTTTTTCAATTCAAAATGTCAGGAATAGCGTTGAGTTCCAGGCTTTATACAGTAGCCCATCAAAACCTTGTTTTGAAATGCAAATTGGAATGGACGAAGGGGTCCACCTCTTTGGAAAGGGAGTCGTTTGGCTTCTTTTGTTAGCCTTCTACAGGCCAGTATCATCCACTTCAACAGGTATTCATCCTACTTTTATAACCTTTTCAGGATGCAAAAATTTTGCACATGTACAGAAAATATATAAGCAATGGTATATATTATATATAATTGAACCCCCGTCGGCCTGAACAGAAGTCTGCCTCAGCAGATGGCCGCTCACACTGAGCCTGGTTCTGCTGGAAGTTTCTTCCTCTTAAAAGGAAGTGTTTTTCTCCACCGTTGCTACAAGCATGCTTAGTGTGAGGGACTGCCTTCGAATCAATGAGTAGATATAATCAACTGGTTTTCCTTAGGTAGAAAACTTTTAATCAATTTGACTGTATGATCTGGTGAACTGTAAAGTGCCTTGAGATGACATGTGTTGTGAATTGGCGCTATATATATATTTGAATTTAGAAAGTTTCCTGGAGAGGTGGCGAATCGTCTTCAAATCTTGGAAACCAAGTCCAGTGGATATTTTTTGAATTTACAGAAAGTAATTGATAATACATTTTAATGGCCTCACATAAGACACAGAAAAACCAAAATATCCAAAGGCCTTTCAGTTTTGAATAAAGTCAACCCATAAGTTGGATGGACTTTTTACCCTATACTGTACCTTGATTCTTCCATATCTCACATATTGTGTGGAAATGTAGGGAAACATAGACATAAACACAACTAATCCTATAGTTACAGTACAGAATTCACAAGCTTTGGAATTCGGGTCTTACTCACAAACTCTTTCAGTCAAAGTTCTTGTCAGTCGTTAAAAACTATTTGATCTTGTCAAATATTATACTTCTATTATCCTTCAACAACTCAGAAAAGTTTTTGAGTGTCTGTATGCGGAGTGAAACCCTGGAACAGCTTAAGTTACATAAAAAATGCAAAAATATTCACAGATTTAAAATCCTATTCAAAAGGTTTATCTGGTCACAGTATGTTCCGAGAGGGTCTTAAATGTATATTAGTGTATATTAATGTGCGCTTGTAGTTTTTCTGACCATTGCTGGTATTTATCCATCACCATTGTTTCTATGTCTCTCTACTATTGTTGATATTGTGTAAACTATTACTATTTTTATTTTTTTTATCATTGCTGGTATGCTAGAAAACAAAAAGATACTATGTATCTTTGTGTACTATGTTCTCAGTACTGAAAACATTATTATTATTTGTAATTATTTTACTTTAAACTGCTTGTGCTCCTTAAATCTTGCGTTTTCATTTCTAAGTAGCTGCAAATATATATACACTGCTTAAAAAAATTAAAGGAACACTTTGAAATACATCAGATGGGGGAAAAAAGCATGCTGTTTATTTCTAGTGATATGGACTGGGTGATTTGTTGGGAACAAAAGGATGCCACATCATTTGATGGAAATGAAAATGATGAACCTACAGAGGACTGAATTCAAAGACATCCCAGAAATTACAATCAAAAAATGATACGGCAGGCTAGTCCATTTTGCTGAAATTTAATTGCAGCAACTCAAAATGGTATTCAGTAATTTGTATAGTAATTTGGCTCCTAACGAGATGACGGATAGCGTCCTGGGTTATTTCCTCTGAGATCTGGACCAGG